AAGAGAAGAGAAGAATTAGAGCAGGAGTTGAATGCAAATTTTTTAAGATAGAGAAAAGCTTTTTATTTGCAGGATAATAATACTTACATATAATAAAATATTTCGGTCACATGTATAATACAGCATGAGCGACACCCAAGGAAAACTAGACTTTGGCTTGGGCTTTTAAATCTAAAACTTACCATAAAAAATCTGAAGAATTTAATCCAGCACGTTATAAATTTAAGAATCCAGAGTTTTTGTTTTTCTTAGTATCATTTATATAAATCATCAATTTCAACGCAAACCTTCTATTTTGACCTTACGCATCTCCAATTCAAATTTCAATCTGATGCAACACAGTTTTAAATCCACACCCATTCTAATTTCATGAACAACATAAACATATATATACGGTTGAAAACAGAAATGATATTTTCAAATCATCTTCGCTGGCAATAATTGTCGCGGCTGAAGCTGGAAATTAGGGACCTCGATTTGAAAATATAAACCCTACCAAAATTCACTTATACATTTTTATTATCAAAACTAACCTTAAATCCTAAGCTAACTATAAAAAAAAAAGCAATTGAAAATTTAATATTAAAATATTTAAAATTTTCAGCTTCAACCGTTACCAGTTTTAACCACGAAAATTATTTTTAAAAAAAAAATAAATAAATAAAAAATATATAGCTACTAGAGTGTAACTTGGTTACTGCAATACAGGCAGACATGCTAACCTTAAATGTTTTAATATATTGTTCCGTCATTTTAATGATGGATTATATCAATTCCAGATCGTGTGATGTGAGACAGTATTATAGATGATATTTTTCTATCTACGTTATATAATAGCTCTAATACATAGCTGTTCTAAATATGTACGGTCGTTCTCGATAGAGCCAACATTCTATATAAGACCGTTTTACCTACTGGCTTTGAAGTTATACAAACTGTAATTATTGCAACATCACCATTTTATTATTGACTATTGTTCATGTTAGTCTTATTCAAATAAACAAACATAACCTTCAAAGAAATGCCATATTTATTTATAAAATACAATGAGAACATTTAACGGGTAGATCAAAATTTTACCACGCTTTAATTAAAAAAACACAACAAACAAAAATAATTGCATGGAGAGGTGAAAGTTTGATCATTTCGTTAATAACCACACCAGGAACTCTTTTTGCTCTACTAAAATAGTCAATCAATTTATCTATGAATACTAATCGTTTCATTTCGTTCGCACATTCTAATTGTTTTTCATCTTCATATACGTCATCTTCATGCATACTTTCTTTATCTTCTGCAAAAACTTCCCCATTAGTGTTGTCATCTGTCTTAATGTGTGAGAATTTCTCTCCTACTTGTACTCCCCTCGGAAAACCCATATTCACCACCAGTTGTAATAAGATTATGATCGTGCCGAAGAAAGTTCAGAGTAGATTTAAAAACAAGGTTACCAGCG